AATATTTGTACTCTTCTCATTACAGTTTTCCAACTTCATTGTACAACAATCCAAAATATCAGCCATATGCTCTACTCTAGATCCTAGGGAGAGGAGGAGGGAGGTGAGACTAGAGCGTTTTTTTCATCAGCTTATATTTTTTGAAAGATACTGACAAGAGAATGGGTAGGAATCAGGAAAAAAGATCACTAGTCCACAGACTGGCAACTAGGAACCCTGGTCTCTTTGGTTCTGTTTTTTATTATTAGATCCAGAGTGAGGATAAACATTCTGCATTTCCTTACCTCTTAATTCACTCTCTCATCTTCATCCAGTCTCACTGCAACCTCACTGTTGGGTGGCGACTGAAAACCACTCTTTCCTTCTTCATTTTGACCATGCTGCACCATTTTAGGTTTTCTTTCTTTCCTTCCTTCCTTTCCCCCTTTCTCTTGCTCTTTTCTTTTCTTTGACAGTGTCTTACTCTGTTACCCAAACTAGGGTGCTGTGGCATCATCATAGCGCACAGCAATGTCAAACTCCTGGTCTAAAGCAATCCTCCTGCCTCAGCCTCCTGAGTAGTAGCTGGGACTACAGGTGCCCACCATAACACCCAGATAATTTTTCATTATTATTAGTATTACTTTATTTTTATCTTTTTTTTGAGACAGAGTCTCACTTTTGTGACCTCAGTAGAGTGCCCTGGCGTCATAGTTCATAGCAATCTCTAACTCTTGGGCTCAAGCAATTCTCTTGCCTCAGCCTCCTAAATACTTGGGACTACAGGTGCCTGCCACAGTGCCTGGCTATTTTTAGAGATGGAGTCTTGCTCTGGCTTAGGTTGGTCTTGAACTCACAAGCTCAGGTGATCCGCCCACCTTGGACTCCCACAGTGCTGAGATTACAGGCATGAGTCACCACACCTGATCTTAATTTTTCTATTTTTAGTAGAGATGGGGTCTTGGTCTTGCTCTGGCTGTCTCAAATTCCTGAGCTCAAGGAATCCTCCCGCCTCAGCCTCCCAGAGTGCTAGGATTACAGGTGTGAGCTGCTGCACCTGGCCCATTTTGGGTTTTCAAAGGGAGAGAGAGGAGAAATGGGGAAGCAGGAGCCACAGCAAAGTGCTCCCGAGCCATGTCTCTCAGCTCAGAAGGGAGAATGTGGAATTAAAAATCTTTAAGATCCCGCAGTGATCTGGCCTTAACCCATGTTTCCCACCTTCCCAAACTCTGCACCCCAGGTACACAAACATTTTCATTGTCCCCTTACAGAAAACCTATTGATTAGCTACCCCAAAGCCATTCTGCATATCCTTCTCCCTTGTTGCCCCTCACCGTAGAGGCTGGACAGCCCAACACACACAATTTCTCTATCTTTCTTGCAGCTACAGCTGGTCCTTCGTGTCAGTTTTGGTCCATAAAGTATAAGTGAAAGTCTGATGGGGAAACTTCTGGAAAGCTTTTGTTTCTTGATAACATGGGACAGATGCAACTGATACAGCCTTTACGCCTCTCCCCATTTTCCTGTCTTGAACATGGTTGAGATGACAGGAGCCATATCATTGCCTTGCAGCTCTAGGGGGAAGATCTAGACAAGTGCAGACATGTTGGTGTCAAGCTGCTGACCCCACCTCTGGATTTCTTGTTGTGTGGTTTAAACCTTCTTGGTTTAAGCTACCGTTGGTTAAGTTTTCTGTTATAGCCTAATGCATCCCTAAATGCTATATCCCTGAGCTACAGGCTGGCCATATAACAGACAGCAAACAAACAGATAGGAGCCGTCTTCTGAACAAATTTACAATCTAGTGGGAGGAGAAGAAAAAGATGAACAAAATTTGAACAAACCTTTACCAAATGGCATACGGTGGTTTGGATTATGAAGAAAAAAAATACAGTGCTATGGTAAACTATAGATGAGTCCCTACTTTAGCTAGCAGGGTCTGAGGCTTCTTCAAAGAAGAAGAGGTTAAGTTAGGACCTGTAGGGAGAAGACCCAGCCATTTGAAAAGGAGGTTACAAGGACTTTAGGCAGACATAACAGATTGTGCAGGGCCCAAGGGCAAAAAAGGCCCAGTGTTCAAAGAACTAGAAGTCTGTGGTAGGAGGGTAGTAAGAGAGATTAGAAAGCAAGGAGCTTGAATATTAGCCCACGTGCAAAATGAAGGTTCTTATGCAGACCAAGGGCTTAAGGAAGATAGCAAGGCAGGTGCAGAGACCAATGAGAGGGCTGTTGGAAGTGATCAGATGGTAATGATGGTGATGTGTTTGGAATGGACCACCAGGCACTGCCTCAGGACTGTTCGGGATTCGGGTAAACAGTACAGAGCAGATGTAGTATTTAATACTCACTGATTACCCCTTTCTTTGGAGTTTCTGACAATTCTCTTGTACCACTATCCATATCTTCTTTGTCAGGCCCTTTTCCTCTGCTTGTCTCTGAATACATACGTACTAAAGTTCCTCTGAGTCCTTACCTAGGCTCTCTTCTCTTCTTACCCCACTCCTTTCCCTGGGCAAGTTCAGTTTACCCCCTCTACCTACACATTGGTGACATACAAACATACATGTCCTCATCAGGTTTCTCTTTTAAGCATCAGACCCCCATTTTTACCTGTTCACTAGACAGCCTGCTTGGATGCACCTCAGGCCTAAATATGCCCCATGGACTCTGCTCCCCTATCCACCTGCTTCTCACCTTTGTGCCCTCAGTGAGTGGCGGCCCCACCCACCCCCTTGCCCAAGCCAAGATCCTGGGCATTGGACTTGGCCCTGTAGGCAAGGAATGACTTTTCCCTCTACATTCTTAAGTGGCAAAAGATAGATTAATATTAGAAAAAGTATATTAAGTTTTATCTGAAAAAAAAGTTTTATCTGATGTTAACATTTCTATGTGGCATGAGGGCGGTGCTTCACAGAAAGAAGCTAAAACCCCAAAGCATCATTTGGACCTGAGGCTTATATACCATTTTAACAAAGAGCAATACAATTTGGAGACATGACAAGACAAAGGAAAAAGGGTTTGGGCTGGAAGGTGGGTGGTATATTGTGGGAAAATCATTAGGAAACCCACAAGGACAACTAATGGAAGAGAAGGGTTATTCTAGTAAGGTTTGGTTGTACAGATGCATTTTGGCACTGATTCTCCATCTCTGGTGATAAGGGTGTTTTCTTCCTGGTACAAGGACAGCACTCTTCTTGGGAAAATTACACACTGTTTTTAGGTAGAAAAGGGTACGGTAGAGGTCTCTTCCTGTATCTGCTGTTTCTCCATTGCCTTCAGCTCAAAAGAATACATCACAGTGGCATACTTTGGGGCAATGTTCTGATCCCTTTTGAACCCTCTCCCTTATTGCATTTACCTGTCAATTGCCATGTTCTATTCACCTCATCTCTTGCTCTAAGCCATCTTCAGCCTCACAGCCCCAATCCTGATTTCAGCCTCCGTCATCTTCCACTAAGTCTCATGACCATCTCTTGGCCTCCAATCACATCTTCTTCCAATCTATTTTCCACACTGTGGATAGAATTTTCCTTTTAAAACATGATAGTATTATGTTCTTGCTCAAAGCCATCCAATTTCTTAGGATGAAATTCAAGCATCTTGATAA